ATGTGGGTAATTTAAGTTATGATCTGTGTAATGAAAGCAACTGTTGTAGGCTTGCATGTGACGTACTATTTCATGTAGGTAATTTAAGTTATGATTCGTGGTGTTTAAGGCTTGCATGTGATGAAAGAATTGGAATATGTTGTACCTTCTGTGCTTATTTTACATGTGCTGCAATATGTGTATGCAATAATAATGAAAGCAACTGTTTTAGGCCTGCATGCTTATTCCTGTACAAGTACAGCAGGCTTTCAAACAAAAATAGGCTATGGAATTATTTCTCCAGTGCCGTGCACAAGGGTACCTTTTATCTTTTAAACATGAACCACTCACATGTTTCATTGCTCACGGACAGCTTGAAGTTGCATAACTCGTACAATCCTTTACTTTCCATTTGCCTATAGAGGGCTAGAGAAAGTAACATTATTTCACTGCCTTCTGTTTGCATCTTCTTCTATTTTGGAAATAAGAAAAGTGAGGGTATGGCGCATTTCGATTTCAACTGTAATTTGCAACAATTGTCCGGTGGCGATAATGAAATTGATGACACGGCATAAATAGAAGAGCTGTTCGTAGATATTAGAGAGTGGTTTCAATATTGTCAGAGGAATGACATGAATTTACGGTACTATCATGTACAGCAACGTCGTATTTCTCGCTATCCATTCGAGCGAAACGGGCACATGTTTATGCTAGATGCTATGAACTTTAGCCCACAACAGTGCTACGTGAAGTTCCGCATGTACCCCCCGATGCTGCGAGTATTTACACACGTACTTCGAGATGAGTACGGACTGTGGAGCGGGCAACATATCGATGTGTACGAACAAGTGGGTATGTTTCTATACATTCGGCGCATAAAAAGGGTTATAGACAAGTGCGACGTTATTCAACCATTCACTGGAGACCATTGGACACTACTTCAAACTTGTGCTCGAAGCGGTTGTGGAGTTCTCGTATCGACAGTTAATTAAATCGGATCCGAACTACAATCATGGTGCTGAGCACCACGTTCCGAATCTGAACAAACATACCCTATTTCGGGATTGCATAGGAGCTATTGACGGTACACACGTCACGGCCGTTCTACCGCGTGACGAGCCGGTGAGTTTCATCGGACGCAAAGGAATTCCGACGCAAAATGTGCTAGCGGCATGCGACTTCAATTTGTGTTTCACATTTGTGCTTGCTGGCTCTACAAGAAATAGTCATAATCCTAGAATCTTGTCTAGGGTTATACATGAACCCGAAATAGACTTCCCGAAACTGGTTCCTGGAAAATATTATCTGGTTAACTCAGGTTTCGCGCATCGACCAGGGTACATGGCGTCGTATAAGGGTTCAGATATATTGTACCACTTTCAGCAATTTTACGACGGGTCCACCGGTCGTAGGCGCAACTTCCAAAATGCACGGGAGAAGTTTAATTTTCAGCACTCATCTTGCAGAAACGTAATCGAACGTGCGTTCGGCGTGTGGAAAAGTGGTTGGAAAATACTCGATTGGAAGCCAGTTATAATTTTAAAGTACAAACAGGAGTTGTAATTGCAACTA